TATTGTGGGGAGCCGCTACAGTGTTTTGGACAGGTTCAAGCCTTGGACTGATGAGAGGGCACAGTCCTCTCATTGCCATGTGCAAGTCCCAGCTTGGAGGGCAGGGCCCTCCCAGCACAATTATAGCCAACAGCTGTAGTTGTAAGCTTGAACCTATGGTCCGAACACGTGGCCCCACGTGCCTGAGTGATGTGGGCTTGATAGAGTTCAGGTGCATGTAGTTGAGTAGAATTGAAACCCAGGAGAATGTTTGTAAACATCTTGGTCACGCCCTTACTTTGCCTCGTAGCATCTGCTATAAAATAAAGGCATGGCTGTGGGCGTGGTCGCTGTCTCTCAGAGAAGCAGTGTCCCACCGAGACCCGGCTTTCATTCTCTTGTCTGTCTTTTCTAAGCCTTTCAGCTGCCCTACTCAGGTTCACCCCGTGCTGGCGCGGCACACTTTAGAACAGTGATGGTGAACCTATGACACGCGTGTCAGAGGTGACACTCGAACTCATTTTTTTGCTTGATTTTTCTTTGTTAAATGGCATTTAAATATATAAAATAAATATCAAAAATATAAATCTTTGCTTTACTATGGTTGCAAATATCAAAAAAATTTCTATATGTGACATGGCACCAGAGTTAAGTTACGGTTTTTCAAAATGCAGACATGCCGAGCTCAAAAGGTTCGCCATCACTGCTTTAGAAAGATCTGCCTCCACGCTCCCAGGGCAGGTTCCTGCCTCAAACTCCGCCCTTACAGGAAACAGCTCTGGGAAACAGCTTGCGGGAGGGCGCAGCCTTTGCCAAGACAACCCCTGTAGGACTGACTTCCTTCCACTTGGTCGCAACTGTTTGTATGTGATGAACACCACCCATGGTTTTTATATAAGTAGATAGCCAAGATATGGAAACAACCCAATGAATGGATGAATAAACTGTTGTATATATTCTTCAGCCATAAAAGAAAATGAGCCCGGCTGGCACGGCTCAGGGGTTGAGCACTGACCTATGAACCAGAAAGTCACAGTTTGATTCCTGGTCAGAGCACATGCCTGGGTTGCTGGCTCAATCCCCAGTATGGGGTGTGAAGGAGGCAGCCAATCAATGATTCTCTCTCATTATTGATGTTTCAATCTTTCTCTCTCTCTCCCTTCCTCTGAAATAAATAAAAATATTTTTTTAAAAATAAAGAAAGAAAATGAAATCTTGCCATTTGGGCATGATGCTAAATTAAATTAAGTCAGAAAGACAAATACCATATGATCCCTCTTATATGTGAAATCTAAAAAACATAAAACATGGAGCATTTGAGATCTTGCTTCCTGGTAATTGTCATCATTTTGGCTCAAATAAACTCATAAAAAATTTAAAAAAAATTAAAAACACAAAACAACACACACCAACACAAGCACAAACACACTAAATCCAAGCTATAGATACAGAGAACAGATTGGTGATTGCCAGAAGTAGGGGTTGACAGGTAAGAGAAAAAGGTAAGAAGGAGGGGGGGTGGTGTCAAAATTTAAAAAAAATTATTTTTAAGTTCTATTAACTAGTAGTTTCCCTATATAAGACATGAAGAATTACCCAAGTATTTTTGCCTTCTATTGCTTTGGTAATCCTTATGATATATGGATACTTTTAAATTCAGTAGTTGAGAAATACTTACGTGAATGGGAACTTGAAATCATTAGGCTTAATACAGCGCACATAGTGAGGGGTAGTGGCATTCAGGGTCTCCATTAGCAGGTGAAGGGAATTTCGGAACTGCATGGGAAAGAGCAGAAAGGGGCATCAAGGTTTTGTCAAAGCCAAGGATGATGTAAAACCAGTTAAAATTTTCTAATGACAGTAGTAAAGACTGACCCACCCTCATAAGGGGAGTTATCAAACAAGAATGCTTTATGTTACCATTTCCTTAAATTCTACCATTTATATGCTTACTCTCCTAACTATACATTCACTCTCTCCCATGCCTTTTCCCACATCCCCCTTTTTTATAGGCTGTTTCCTTAGAGCAATTTTAGGTTCACAGTAAAATTGAGAAGATATAGGGATTTCCCACACATCCCTTATCCTCACACATGCAGAGCCTTCCCCATTATTAATATCCCCCAACAGAGTTGTACATCTGTTATAGTTGATGGACATAAACATTGTCATCTCCCAAAGTCCATCGTTTACATTAGAGTTCAGTCTTCCTACTCCCCTTTTAATACACGACGCTGCTGTTTTCTGTTGGGAACGCAAAATTCTGACTAAAAATATAACCTTGCTTTATGAAGATTAAGACCATTTAATCATGTAGAATGGGAGTTTAGCTGTAAGATACTGAAAAATATAACAGATGACAAGAGTATAGGCAATGAATGGGAGAATGGGAGAGTACAGCCAGGTGGGATTACCATTAGGGACATGGGATCAGGATGGAGGCAGTAGACCTGTGTCTGGCCCTGTTTCCTGTCTGCACCAGGCACAGGGTCACACACACAGGAAAACAAGCTGGCCAGTGCTTAGCCGTCTGTCCAAAGCCTGGGCCACTGTTCAGGCACTAAGCATGCATGTTACATTTTCCACTCCCCACGGAGGATAAGACATCAAAAACAAGGAGAGGGCACTGTTCCAGTTGAAGGAGCTGATGTTCTGTACAAATCCAGAGAGGAAGCAACCAGAGAACAAAACAAAGGCAACAGTGGTCGATAAGGAAGAAGAATTAAGACGCAAAAAACAATATTTGGAAAAGGCTTAATCAGAGTCACAGGTCTAAAGCTGGGTGGAGGGCAGGAGTGGATGGTGTTACACATTCTCACAGTGAAAGCTCCAGCCTCTCCTCACCTGAGGATCCCACCTGGGAGGCTGAGGAAGGAAGACCTGAGGCTTCAGCAGAGCCAAAGAGGAAAGAACACCACAGCAGTGGTTTCCTGAACTCACCTGGTGCCCCACCGTTTTCTTGTGCTCTTTGGCTGTCTGGCCTGGTCGACCTTTGGTGGGCTTTGCAGGAATGCGGGTGAGGGGTGTGCGCCCTGAAGAGGTGGCTGAGGTTGGACTGATGGCCTTCTCATCATCTTGAAATAATTCTGGTAGCATCTTAAACTGAGTCAGAGAGCGTGAAAGAAAATTACACTCTAAACTCAAACTCAAAAAAAAACCAAAAAAAAAACCTCAAACTTAAATGTAAACCTTTACAGAAACATGAAGATTTGCAATCCATAGTGATTCCCTTCCTTAAGCCAACTCTTTCAGAGTCACACTCCAGAAGTAATCAGTATCTGTGTTGGGAGCCAAGAGAGTGAGAGGAAGGTGACATTTATGGTCTAAAAATATAGGTGGAAAAATGCAACAATTCTACAACCATGTTTGGGGGAAACAAAATAAAAACTACTCCACTAAGACTTGAAATCCTAATTGGCCACTCTAAATATATTACTGAGTTTGAATTATAATTATTTTATGAGAAAAATACTAATTGAAAGTCCTATCTTATTATCTTAGTTCCACGAAATGCTTTATCAGCATGCTTCATTTATCTACCCACTAATTCAAATGGTGAGCACCAGCTAAAAAATATCACAGAAAATCTCAGCAGGAAGAATGTCATGAACTAGTTCTACAGTATTATAGTATTAAAAATAATTATGAATCAATACAATTTTTTAGAAAATAAGTTGGATTATGGGGGGTAGATAGGGCAAGTAAAAAACCCTGTCCTTATCCTATAACTTTTATATTTGTTTTCAAAGGATTTATAACTTGATTGTTAACTCCTGTAATCAATTTTGTGTTCTATCAGGTTAGCAATATGAAAGACTATCAAGCCCTGGCTAGTGTGGCTCAGTTAGTTGGAGCATTATCCCGAACACCAAAAGGTGGCCAGTTTGATTCCTGGTCAGGACACACACCCAGGTTGTGCCTCAAGTTTCTTTCTCACATTGATGTTTCTCTCTCTCTCTTCCTCTCCTTTCCACTCTCTATAAAATCAATAAAAGCATTTTTTTTTAAAAAAGATTTTCAAAAGGTTTGGCATTTTGTAATTGGGTGGATGGTATAAGGCAATATGATAGGGAGAAATTTTATGGAACAAAAGAGACTTCAATGGAAAAAATATCGTAGGGTGAGGATGACAAAAATAAAATAAAGAGAGATAGATACACAGATATATAAGTAGGTAGGTATGCCTGGACATTCCATCTTGTTTCTTTGATCTGTCTAGGAAATAGTGTTAAAGAAAACAAAATAATCCAAGTAGCAGCTTCAAGAAAATGTGGGAAATCATTTCTGTAATAACAACATTATTCACTAAGAGCTTTTTATGAATGAAACACTACTCTAAGGGCTTAATGAAACCTATTTAATCCTCATAAGAACCCCTTAGATACTATTATGATTCTATTTCATAGATGAGAGATCTAAGGCATAAACTTAGTGCTTCCCCTCATCAATAAGCAACATGGAAAGTAGGGGTTACAACTCTTTTTAATGGTATTTGGTAGAGTTGCAATTTAGTAGTATTTGGTCAGGGTGCAATTCATTTATGTGCTCTCTGATATTAGATGTGGCAACATAATCTATGTTTTATCACCGTAAAGAAATCTTAAGACACTTTTTGTTAAGTTTATAAGACCTTAGTTCTTTTTCAAGTTGAAAATTTGGCTAGAGGCTGCAAAATTAAAGGAAAAAGAAGACAAAACACATACACATACAAACTCAACCTCACACTGTATTACCACAAAATAATTCTATTTAAAACATAAAACACAAATATTACCCTTTTAAAATATGTCCAAGAGAACAAATAAACACTATGTTATACTTGCTTCCTATCAGGTGCACAGACATTAACATATAAAGTCCATCCATTTAGGTTGCGTCTCTGAGTGGATGGGTTTCGGACTGGGAGCAGGGGAGGCCTTTAAGATTCTATGTAAATCACACACTGTCTCCATTCCAATAGCAACAATGCTGTATAGACTGGTAGTCACTCCAAATGATTCCTCAGAATGTATACCACCTTCTGATAATTAGCCAATTAGAAAAGTTAAGCCAGAATAAAGATACAATTGATATGGGTACCTGGGGGATGAGAACCTGTGAATATTCTATTTAAGCTAATTACTTAGGCAGAGTAGTGATGCTAGAATGTCATGATTTTCATCATTATTCATAAATCAAAATGATTTATAATCTTTAACTGAATAATACTCAGGCATTGGCCTGTGAGAGAATTTTCTCTTCTACGCCAGTCTCATAAGCTATCAAGCATTAATGCCCAGTGCCTATGAGGATAAGTGAAAAACTGACTTTCTCAGAAGACACTAGACTCATTATTTCCTGAGGCATAACACTGGAATCTGGTCTTTATATGTTCTTTCTATTATCAAAAGAATTGAAAGCAAACATTTTATTCTAAAAACAAGAGTCAAAATGTTCATATAGTATTACATTGAAGTTAAAAGGATTGTCTTAGAATAAACCAGAAAAACTGGCAGTTTTAGAATAAACTAAAAAAAAAAAAAAGTGCCAGTCAGTAATCTAGAAGAATTTGATGAATATACTTAGTTTTTTTGTGTTGGTTTGTTTTTAAAAATATGGAACGCTTCACGTATTTGCGTGTCATCCTTGCGCAAGGGCCATGCTAATCTTCTCTGTATCGTTCCAATTTTAGTATATGTGCTGCCTAAGCGATCACTATACTTAGTATTTTATTGAATAATTGAATATTAATTTTGCTAAACTGAGTAGCTGGCTTCCTGGTTTGTTCCATATAGAATGAAAGTGAGCTGTCCTTCCCTTTCCATCTTTTCCTGACAAAAGTCAAAGGAATGAGACTGAGCCCTAGCTGGTTTGGCTCAGAAGATATAGCGTCGGCCTATGGACTGAAGGATCCCAGGCTTGCCTCGGTTGTGGGCTTGATCCCCAGTAGGGGGCGTGCAGGAAGCAACCAATCAATGATTCTCTCTCATCATTGATGTTTCTATCTCTCTCTCTCCCTCTCCCTTTTTCTCTGAAATCAATAAAAAATATATTAAAAAAAAAAAAAGGAAGGAGACTGGGGTCAATCTAGTGTAACCATCATAGTTCCTTGCCCTCTGGAATATTCTTTTCCCACTAGAAAGCAGTGTTTCTAGAGTCTATACTAAAGAAATATAATTTTGAAATGCTTTGGACCACACCTGAAACTGCACTCAATGATTCAGAGATTAATCTCCGTCTGAACAGAGTATGTAAGGCCATGTTTCAAGTGCATTCCTTTAAAATGACACGGCAAAAATACTGGTTTTCTCTCACAGTCTCTCACAGAGGCACAAGAAAAGCCTGGAACTGCTGTGCAGGCAAAAATGTCCCATAAAACTGAAAGACAACACTGCACAGTGGTTAAGACACAGACTCTGAGCCAGACAGCCTAGGCTTTAATTTGGCTTGAAAACTCATTAGCTCTGAAGTCCCTGTGCCTCAGATCCCTCATCTGTAAAATCAGCAGGGTAATGAGAATGTCACCTCATTATGAGGATGAGATGAGCTAACATTTGTATGGCATTTAAATCAGGACCTAACACACAGTAAGCGTTGTACATCTGATAAGCAAAAAACTAACAATAAAGCTGACTTTGTTAGAGAAATCATTATTATTGTTTAAAAGATAATGCTTAATTAACATTTTGTTGAATATATCCTGATTGAAGAAAACCATGTACATGGTTACCTTGCTTGATTTAAGAACTTTAATTTGTTCTTCATAAACAGTGTCTTTATTCTTTTCCAGAAAGCCTTCACACTGGTATTCCACCTGAAAACACAGAAAAATCTCAACTTATACAACTTTTGAATAGAAATCATAATCATCAACAACAAAATATTTATTAAGCTCAGGCTATATGACTGGGGTTTTATGCTAAGAAATTATAAACTTGATAAGAAGTATGTTAACCCTAGAGTAAAACAAATACTGTTTTTCTTAGGGAACAGTGGTAGTGCTGAATAACTGTGGTCTAAACAATCCTCCCATCATGGCTAAGCAGACTCATTTGAAGTTCATTCTCCTCTCCCATGTTGGCAACTCCTTCAACGCTGACCCAGTATATCTCCTCCTAACCTAGTTCACCATCCAGCAGGGTTAAGTCTCCTCTTGGGAGAGAAGATCATAAGGAACAAATAGCTGTCTGATAGAAAGAAAGTAGAAGAGCTGATGATGGGTGGAAGTGGAGGCTGGGGAATACTGTATGATTTGGTAAGTGGAATTACTTGAGAATGGACTATTACTGCTTCCAAAACTCCAATGGCTTTAGCCAACTACTACTGAAGGGGCTCCCAGTTTGTGCACCATAAAGCCCTTAGGTGGTCCTAAAGTCATTCCAAGGTTTCCAGCCAGAATTAAGAAGGACTCAGAAGGCCCCTAAATCCTGAAAGAGACCCTGAGAAGCTTACTCCAGAGCCTACCCTATAACCTCCTTGGAACATAAATTAATCTTACAGCTCCTGATTTTCTCACTAGACTATAGAACTTGTGGAGCAGCAAGTCTGCCTGTCTTGTTACCAGAGACCCAGTGAATCAATATTGGAGGGTGACACAAGCTCACAATTTCCATTCTGAAACCCTTGGGGTCAGCTATACTTAAGAACTCAGAATTTTCCAGCAAAGTCCGAGGCAGCAGTGATCAAATACATTATCATTTCTACCGTGCAATATGTAAATATCCAGCTTAAATAGGATAAGTAAAAACTACAAATAACCTCATGTTAGTTCAGGTCAGAGATCAGGTTTAGCCACTAAATAAATTATGAAAAGACTTTTGATTTTCAGAGTTTCTTGAATTTCAGAGGATTGTAGACCCATATTTACTTCATAATTCCATTTAGGTTAAAGGAAAAGAAAAACAACAAGCCAACAATGAGGATTACTTTTCCTATAAGGCCCTGAAGAATGCAAACTTCAGCCAAAAAAAAAAATGACAACTCTTGAATACTCATTTTTTCCTCTTTGAACTTAAGTATTCAAAAAGAAAAAAGATAATAAAGCTTCCTTACTTTGTCAGCAAAATGTTGGATGATGAAAGCTTTGTTTGACAGACGGGGCTTTTCAAAGAGTGCACATTTGTTCAAATGTGTGTTGTACAATTTCTGGGCCCAAGTGTCATCTGTACCTTTAGGCATCTACATTAAATGAAAGAAAAACGGAAAGAAAAAACACAAGTGAATATTGTTATGAGACTTTTCTAATGCATTAAGAGACCATTCTTTGGCTTCACCTACCAATTTTTATATTCAAACTAGAGGCCTGGTGCACGAAATTTGTGCACTGGGGGGGGGGGGGGTCCCTCAGCCCAGCTGGCACCCTCTCCAATCTTGGATCCCTCTCACAATCCGGGAATGCTGGCTCCCAACCGCTCACCTGCCTGCCTGATTGCCCCTAACTGCTTTGGCCTGCCAGCCTGATCACCCCCTAACCGCTCCCCTGCCAGCCTGATTGACACCTAACCGCTCCCCTGCCAGTCGGATTGCCCCCAACTGCCCTCCCCTGCTGGCCTGGTCGCCCCTAACTGCCCTCTCCTGCAGGCCTGCCCCCCCCCCAACTGCCCTCCCTCCACTGCCGGCCTGGTTGCCCCTAACTGCCCTCTCCTGCAGGCCTGGCCCCCCCCTCAACTGCCCTCGCTCCCCTGCTGGTCTGGTCGCCCCTAACTGCCCTCCCCTGCTAGCCATCTTTGTGGAGGCCATCTTGTGACAACATGGGGGTGGCCATCTTGTGGCGACATGGGCACGGCCATCTTGTGATCACATGGGGGCAGCCATCTTGTGCGAGGGCATGATGGTCAATTTGCATATTACCTCTTTGTTATATAGGATTAGGAATTTATTTCTTCCACATTTCTCTCTTAGAGGCCAAAAACCAATTATTAATGGAGAACAAAGACTGAGACGTCCCCATGGGCAGCTCAATCTGCCTTTAGATGGAGTCATCAAATAATATTTTCTCTTAAAACAATAAAAGCCTCACTAATAAAAGATGAAATATCATGACTATCAAGTATTTTCTAAAAATATGTTAAATAAAGATATCATGTGCATATAGTGAAATATTCATATAATTCAGAGAGGTATGAAATGGAGGGTAGTCTCCTCTCACCACTTCCATTGACTTCTTTATCTTTCTGTCTCTAAACACATATACATAAATAGGCTCATTCTCTAAATTCACTGCATCTTTCTCTCTTTAATAATAGCATTCTTATATTTATGATCACTATGTTTTTACTGATTTTTGTAACAATTATTTATTTTACATATATATCTTAGATACTTTTGCAAGTATATTTGTAGGGTAAACTCCCATCAGTTCCACTGCTAAGTCAAAATATATATGTATTTACAATTTTGATGAATATTGTCAAATTCCTTTAAAATATGTTGTACTAATTCATGCCCTTCATCAAGAATATATACGCAATAAATATTCATTTGGTAGTATCAAATGAAAGGTATTACTAAATTTAAAATCTTCTGATAGGTAAAACAGTAACTTGTTTTTGTTTTGACTCACATTTTATTTAATTTTGAGCAAGGCAAGGACCTTGTCACTATATGCATTCTGAATGCTGTAGAAAATCTGGATGCTTATAAACTAAATATATTAAGAGAACAAATAGGTATTTGTCTAAGATCCCTCAGTTAGCAATAGAGCTGAGAACCTCATATTTTTCTAACATGCTACATCTTCAAATTTAAAGCTAAAACTCCCTCCCTAACATACATATCAGTAATAAAGAACTAGTCAAATTTTAAATTATGAATATTTAGAACAATTGTTCAAAATATCTTTTGTAATTTATTGCATTTCTTTAAATATATAATACCAATGAACAAAAAGTACCAAATATAAGCATATTGATTAACAGAAGCGGCTAAAATTGGTAGTAGTTGTATCAAATGTTAATTTTTCACACAATTTAGAATCAAGTGAAAAGAGAAGGGAATTCTCCTAGTTTCATTTGTATTTAAAGGCCTTTGGTTCTGGTGACCCTTCAGAATGCAAGTTAGAGTGATCTCTAACTCATGGCAACTCATGGAATACTATGAATCTCTGCTTAAACCCACTTATTTTCTGACCTTGTGATATCTATTTGGATACACTAAGTACATCAGGGAATCATACTTACTTTGCATTCCTCATCCAGCAAATCTAGAATGCCCAGTTTAGATTCTATAAGATTAATGCAAGGCTGATTATCATAAAAATCTATGAGAGTCCATGGAATTTGTTCCTTCATATATTCCTCTTGTTCTAATTTGAAGACATGCTAAAATGAAAAAGAAAAAAGTGGCATTACTGCATTATTTTCATAAGTAATGTTAGTCAAGAAATAATCCTATATAATAAAAGGCTAATATGCAAATAGACCGAACGGCGGAACAACCGGAACAACTGAACAACCGAGCAGTGAGAGATGGCAAGGGGAGTGTGCGGAACATGGTGGGCATTGGCCGTGGCAGGATGGTGAAGCTGGTGAGTGGGGGCGCCAGACCAAGGCCGGGCGCCGGGCGCTGTCATTGGGGCGATCCTCAGGTGGTTACTGAAAATTCTTTGCTCCTGCATGTTGTGGTCCTGCCCGGCACTTGCAACTGCTGCCGGCGCCAGCCTCACTTGCACCCGCTGCCAGCGCCAGAGCCGCCGCTCACACCACTGCCGGCACCCCGCGCTGGCCTGGATCGCTCGGTGCCATCAGCGGGTGTGAGCAGGGGCTGCCAGCCCCAATCGCCCCTCAGGGCTTCTCCACCTCCCCCTGAAGGGAGATCAGGGCTGGCAACCACCTCTCACACCCACTGCCAGTGCCAGCCCTGCTCTCACCTGCAGCTGGTGCTGGAGCTGCTGCTCGCACCCACTGCCAGTGCCCGGCGCCGGTCCCGATCGCTTAGCGCCATCAGCAGGTGCAAGCGGCCGGCCCCAATTACTTAGTACCTTCAGCAGGTGCAAAAAGGGCCGGCACCACTGTCAGCACGTGGGAGTGGTGGCAGCAGGAGTAGGGCTGCCAGCAGACAGGTGACCAGGGGCCGCAGCGGGAGGAGCCGGGCTGGGGAGCGGCGGATGGGCCAAGACCCATCCATGTGCCTACCACAGTTCCTTTCAAGGTACACGAATTCATGCACTGGGCCCCTAGTGTTTATATAAAATACTCTAAGATGCTAACATAATTTGAGATAGTCCATGGCTTCCAGCAACAACAATCTCTGAGAGAAACATGATTTCTACAAAGAGAACAATCAAATAAAGCAAATAAAAACCACAGACAGTAAACAACTCTATAGGGTTCTTGATGAACAAGTAAATCTAGGTATCCGAATGTTTTAAGTAGCTGATAAATGTAGCAGTTTTCAATTTTTGATATGTATTCATCCAAACTATATACTTTTTGGCCTCTTAAGTTATTGCATAGTGCTGTTAAAACATGGGCACAGTCTGCCTTAGCTGGCCTTGAGCAACTCTGCAGAGTGGATATCCTCCAGACTACTGAATCATGCTGGGAGATGCTTACAGCATAACACAGACATTCTCTTAAAGGACTGTGGTATTGAAGTCCATGTGTCTCGGAGTTAGATAACAATGAACTTTTGTGTCTGCCTTGATTATTGTCCACAGTCAGAAAACCCACTGCTCACTTTCCTGGATTCTACATCCAAATCTGCTGGAGCCACTATCACCTCATGCTATTTCTGCTAAATGCTTCAGCCACCACCCTCACCATTGCTTCTAATCTCCATTCATTCATTTATGCAAAAATATGCATTGACTGCTACTATGTGCCAGTCACCAAACACCATCAACAAAATAGATGTGGGCTCTGCCTTCCTGGAGTTTGGAGACTAGTGGAAGAAGCTGACAGAAATAAAATAATCACAAGGAATATAATTACAAACTGTAATGTTACAGAGGAAAATAATGTGAGCTATGAGAGCCAGCGTCCTCATCAGGTTTGGATACAGCGCGGTGAGGGAAGGCTTCCGAGGAAAGGCTGTGTGGCTGTGTGATCTGAGCTCCACAGCTGAATGGGAGTTCAATGGGAAGAGCAATCCCATCTCTGCTGCCACCCAGCCAATCAGCCCACCCACAACTTCTAGTCTCTACAGATGCTAATGACCTCCATTTGTTAGTTCTGGAGGTTTCTGCTTTCCTCCACTAGTCTTTCTTATCTCTCTTGGTTTGCAAACACTTCTTGCTACTTTTCTGGTAAAATTAGTCCTCTGTGGCTGTGACCAGGCAACACATATTAGGACCCCAAACCTGTAAAACTTAAGTGTCATCAAGACTTCTGATACATACTCTCTTATAATGCCACTCTTGGCCCATGTCCAGCATTTGTAGTCTAACCAGCTGCAATAAGCTTTAGTAAAAAATAAAAATAAAAAAACACCAAAAAACCCATAAAAATAACCTGTATGAAAATTTATGTCATGCTAATTAGAAAGCAGATTTCTTCTATTTTTTTTTTTTATTAATGAGAAGGCAAACAGGCACCATGTGTCAGCAGGATGCCCTGACTGATGGTAACAATATTTTCTAAAAAATGAGCCCTCCTTTTTAATTCATTAATTTATATGCAGTCTCCACACTGACAAAGAAACATGGCTCAGGCTTTAAAGAGACTTTTTTCTCACACACATATCTATGTCTAAGTTTGGAAAAGTGGGTGGGGCCTCAAAACTTTTGAATGCTCAATTGTCAAAAAGACAATGTGGGCATGGGTTTCAATATGGCAAGAGATCCTGGTCAACATGTAATGCCTCCAAGCAGTAAACATGCTTTTCATGCCCTCTGACATACCCACAGCCTTGCTGAGGGAGCAGGCCTAAGCAGCCAAGTTCTTTACTGTGAGACCTCATGTTCCTAGTCGCAGCTGACTAAGTGTAGGTATTTAAGGGCACTCTTCCACCAGAAACCTCTAATGAAAAAATGAAGTGGGTTATCAGTGGAAGCTGCAGCTTAAAGAAGTCAAGAAAAATGGGAGTTAAGCAAGTTAAGAGAATTGTAGGCACACTCCAAAAACTGCTGGGTTCACAAGAAGTCTGAAGCGAATAAGCAGAAACCTTAAGGTAAAGAAAATACATACAGAATAGAAGGAAAGAATATGCCACCTGATAATAAGAGGGAGCAGAGCAGTTGTGCAGAGAGAACCTAAGATGCAGTATGGGTGTGGTGTGTGTGGATGTGGGAGAGAGAAAGAAAGAGCGAGAGAGAGAGGAAGAGAGAGAATCGATTTGTTGTTCCACTTATTTATGCACATGTTACATTCCAGATTATGAAAAAGTTGGGCTGCGGGGGGGGGGGGGGGGGTGCCTCAGCCCAGCCTGCACCCTCTCCAATCTGAGACCCCTCGGGGGATGTCCGACTGCCGGTTTAGGCACAATTGGGCCTAATCCGGAAGTTGGACATCCCTCTCACAATCCGGGACCGCTCACCTGCTTGCCGGCCTGATTTCCCCTTACCGCTTCTGCCTGACAGCCTGATCACCCCCTAACCACTCTCCTGCCAGTCCGATCAACGCCTAACTGCTCCCCTGCTAGCCCAATCACCCCCAACTGCCCTCCCCGATCGGCCCAGTCGCCCCCAACTGCCCTCCCCTGCCGGCCTGGTGCCCTCCCCTGCTGGCCTGGTGCCCTCCAACTGCCCTCCCCTGCTGGCCTGGTCTTCCCAACTGCCCACCCCTGCTGTCCTGGTTGCCCCTAACTGCCTTCCCCTGCTGGCCTGATCGCCCACAACTGCCCTCCCCTACTGGCCATCTTGTGGCTGTGGGCACCGCCATCTTTAAGGGCATGGCAGTAAATTAGCATATTCCCTCCTTACTGGCTGTGGGCGCTACCATCTTTGAGGGCGGGGCAGTCAATTAGCATATTCCCTCCTTATTGGCTGTGGGTGCTGCCATCTTTGAGGGCAGGGCAGTCAATTAGCATGTTCCCTCCTTATTGGCTGGGGGCACCGCCATCTTTGAGGGCAGGGCAATCAATTAGCATATTCCCTCTTTATTAGATAGGATTCACTGGTTGATTTTTATATGTGCCCTCATCAGGGATGGAACCTGCAACCTTGGGGTATCAGGTCGATGCTCTAACCAAGTGAGCTATCTAGCCAGGGCATACTCTCTTAGATATTTCTTCTGATATTTACCTTGAAAGAATATGCTTATCAGCTATTTTTAATTTATTTATTTGAAACCTTATCTATTGATTTCTTGGTAAGATAGATGAGTCTAAATTCACATATACCACCTCTATTTTTAAATCTTCTAGTTCTTATTCATTTTGTAACTTATAATAGTATCTTGCCCTAGCCAGTTTGGCTCAGTGGCTAGAGCATCAGTCTGCAAATCAAAGGGTTCCAGGTTTGATTCTGGTCAAGGGCATGTACCTTGGTTGCAGGCTCCTGCCCGGCTGGGCCCTGGTCGGGGCTCGTGCAGGAGGCAACCAATCAATGTGTATCTCTCACATCAATATTTCTCTCTGTCTTTCACTCTCTCTTCCACTCTCTCTAAAAATCAATGGAAAAATATCCTCGGGTGAGAATTAAAAAATAATAAAAATATCTTTAAACTTCTATTTTTTTCTTCATCAACCATAGACTATATCACTAGAACTCTCTTCTGTAAGATGAAGATATTTATTAAGGGTTCTTTTCCTGTCCTTCAGCTCTCTTCTCTTTCATATCTTCCAATTCCTATGGGTGACTCATTTTTAATATCCTCTTTCATCAATACTAATAACTACCCCTAATCTTGCACTCAGAACTGTGCCTGGCATGTGGTGAGCACTTTACATACCCCAACTCATTTAATCCATAGAACTATAAGCAGTAGGTACTATTATTTACTCTACTGTACAGATGAGGAGAATAAGGCCAAGAAGGTCCCTTAGCTTGTCCAAAGTCCCCTGGATCAAGGCAGAGTAGGACTGTAACCAAAGCAATTCAGCTCAGGGCATCTGTGCTACCCCTCATTTTTAAGCACCTTCAAATCCCTCAACATCATGATAATGTTCTTAGATATTTGATATTCCTTCTTCACAAGAGACACTCTACTCTCAAAATACACTCATTGCAGTTTGTCTCAGTGAATGTCTCAAACTGTTGAAAATATGTAAAAAATATGTAGAAAAGAGAATATGTTCTGAATTTTTGTTTTGGCATCTTGCAAATACAACAAGTAAGAGTTAAGAATTAAGGTAGTCATAACTCCACATATATTTAGCCTCAGGAAAAGAAACTGAAGGATATCCTTACGCTCAAAGCTTTTTGCTTCTCTCACTCAACTTACTTGTACAAAATTTTCACTATTCTCAAACAACAATCCAAATATGACCTTGAATCCCATCTAGACCATAAATAGTTTTCTAACGTGATATCATTTATTAATCATGAGTTCCTCAGCACTTTAGCTGTTCTAAACACCAGATAATAGTTGTAACTCATAACTTCATTTTAGGAATCAGACTTTAAATGCAGACTAGAAATTCAAGAGAATAATTTATAGCAGATTATTATTTTTAAAAAATAATCCTTACCAGATTGAACTGTTGCTGTAGTTTTTCATTTGCATAATTTATGCAAAACTGTTCAAAACTATTTATCTCAAATGTTTCAAATCTGTAAAACAAAAAGAGAAGAAAAGGTAACAAGTAGTTTGTAAAAAATATTCAAAATGTGCATATTAGAAAGAAATAGGAAATTCCCCAACATTGTGAAACTTTCTTACCATATCAGTGAAGATAAAGGTTTATAAGTCAGTGCATGGGGTATATACTGAGAAGACAGGCGTCAGCCAAGTGGCAGAGAGATTTTTAAAAATATTCTGACATGCAGATGAACTCAGCAGTATAAGTTTTTAAGGGCTAATCCATCCCCAAGTGGGGAACACTTGGTAATATGAAAAAGCCATTGCTCTTGTCAGTGTATAGACTCAGACACACATAGAAGGGAACTGGGAATAGATATCTCAAAGGTTCTTTTAAAAAACTGAAGCAGATAATGAAAAATTAGGCATCAAAAAGCACAAATATAAAGTTAAAGAAGGGTACCCAGAGAAGGAAAACTAGCAAATGAAATTAAGATTTTTAGAAATTCTCTTGTAATTTTTCCTTCTTACCAGTAGGAGACAGAATCAAATACCCATGTAAAGTTACTAGAAAATCTCTAAAAAGAAATGGTCTCTGGCAGGCCACTAAGCATAATATGCCTACCCATAAATGTCCAGCACGCCAATAAAGGAGTGCTGCTTGACAGCAGAATGGAGCGCTTGATTGACATGATCTACGATCCAGTTAAAGAGCTTGGCATAGATGTGCTTGGCCAAAGCATCGCGAGCATTCGTGGCCTGCAGCTTGGAGATGGGCTTGATGTATGTCTCTGTGGCAGTGGCTAGCTTCCGATGGCAGAGCCAGTGACACATCTCCTCATAGTCCACACCCATGAGGTCACAGAAGATGCTGAGAGGTTCATGCTTGGGCTGCCAAAAGAGAATGTGTTATCTCCAGTGACAAGATCAATCAAATAAGAATTGACTGAAAAATACTAACAAAGTGGTAACAATAAAACCCAGCAAATTCTTTGTTATAACAAACACCCAAATCACTGAGAGCTGATCAGTGATGATAATAATCAAAATCATCCATCAAACCAGCATCTAAGCAGCATTTGCAATTTCTTCTAAGGCTCATTTGAAAAATCACCTATCTCTTCAGAGTATTTGTTTGTATCTCTTTTCAGACACATTTATTCAGTCAGTCAATCAGAAAATCAGTCAGCCTGTCAACCAATATTTACTGAGAGCCTATTATATGCCAGTAAAAAAAACAACAGACAGGGTCTTTGTCCTCCTAGAACTTATAGTTCTAGGGGAAATGGATATTCATCAAATAATTGCTCCCCAACATGTAATCCTATATAATAAAGAGCTAATATGCTAATTAGACCAGATGGTGGAACAACCAGTGGGCAGGGGGCGGGGCCGCGTGGCAGCTGGGGCTGCAAGGGCCAAGCCCCTTGCACGAATTTCGTGCATTGGGCCTCTAGTATTACTATAAAGGAGAAGGACACAGCAGTAAGATTGCCGGTGAGATGCATGTATCCTTTTCAGAGAGGCAGGAGACAGCTGCCTTGAGACATGGAGTTCAGATTTGAAAGACGAAAATGTATTAACTCGGTGAAAGGGGGAGGAAAGGGTCTTCCAAGCTGAGGGAATAGCTGATGTAAAAATGCTGCGATGGGAGGGTAACCATCAATATGCAGGACTAAAGTTGAGAGAGGGAGAAGATGTATGTAATGAAGCCAGAGACAGGCAGAGGCTATACCAGCCGTGGGCAAACTACGGCCCGCGGGCCGGATCCGGCCCATTTGAAATGAAAAAAACTAAAAAAAAAAAAAAGACCGTACCCTTTTATGTAATGATGTTTACTTTGAATTTATATTAGTTCACACAAACACTCCATCCATGCTTTTGTTCCGGCCCTCAGGTCCAGTTTAAGAACCCATTGTGGCCCTCGAGTCAAAAAGTTTGCCCACCCCTGGGCTATACCATGGCTGGTCTTTATCCTGATAGCAATGGGAGGCCACTGAAGGGTTTTAAAAAGATAACTTGATAGTTATGTGTGCGACTTCTTACGTTAGAATCTCTTTAATCACTTACATATCTAGGGTATCCTATATAATAAAAGGCTAAAATACAAATTGACCAAATGGTGGAATGACTGGTTGCTATGATGCACACTGACCATCGGGGGCAGATGCTCAATGCAGGAGCTGCCCCTTGGTGGTCAGTGCACTCCCACAGGAGGAGCACTGCTCAGCCAGAAGCTGGGCTCAATGCTGGAGAGCAGAGCAGCAGTGGCAGGAGCCTCTCCTGCCTCCACGGCAATGCTAAGGCTGTCCAACTGCTGGACATCCCCTGAGGGCTCCCGGACTGCGAGAGGGCACAGGCCAGGCTGAGGGACCCCCCCAAGTGCATGACTTTCATGCATCAGGCCTCTAGTAATAAATAAAATCAGAAAATTAGCAATGATACAGCTTTATTATCTAACCTATAGATCTAATTCAATTTTTACTGATGGATCTAATAATTTCTACTATGAAAAAACAAACATACAAAACATTTCTATGGTCCAGGATCCAATCTAGATTCATTCAACAAATTTAGTTATCATGCTTCATTAATCTCTTTTAATTTTTTAAATTTTATTTCTTAATTGATTTTAGAGAGAGGACGAGAGGGAAGGAGGGAGGGAAGGAGGGAGGGGAGGGGGAGAGTGAGAAAGAAAGAGAAAGAGAGAGAAACATCGATTTGTTGTTTCATGTTCTACTTATTTATGCATTCATTGGTTGATTCCTGTATGTACCCTGACCAGAGATCGAACCCGCAACCTTGGTGTACCAGGGTGATGCTGGAACCAACTGAGCTACATGGCCAGGATGCATTAATCTCTTTTAATCTGAACACTTCTTCACTCTTTTTATTTTTTCATTTGTGATCTTGACATTTTTTAAAAGTCTGTCCCTGGATTTGGGTCTGTATGATGTTGCCTCATGATTAGATCTGGGTCATGCATTTTTAGCAGGAATATCAGAGAAGTGATGTTGCAGTCTCCTCAGTGCTCCATATCAGAAGTTATGTGATGATGTTGCTTGGTCCCATTACTGGTCATGTCCATTGTGATCACTTGGTTAAAGGAATGTCCGCTAGGTTTCTCCACTAGAAAGATAACTATTTTTCCCTTTGTAACTAATAAGTATTCTATAGAGAGTGCTATCTTTTGCAGCCTAATACGTTATTTTTACTAAAGGCCCAGCATGCAAAATTGCGCAAGCCCCAGCCCCGCCATGCCAGCGGGACCCCGGACCCGCTGTGCAAAAGTGGTTCGTCACCGCGAGGCCTGCCT